GTAGGTGGTGACGGTGGTGGTGGTGGAGGTGTTGGTGTTGGTGTTGGTGTTGGTGGTCACGTGGTGTTGGTGTTGGTGGTAGTGGTGTAGGTGGTGACGGTGGTGGTGGTGGAGGTGTTGGTGTTGGTGTTGGTGGTCACGTGGTGTTGGTGTTGGTGGTAGTGGTGTAGGTGGTGACGGTGGTGGTGGTGGAGGTGTTGGTGTTGGTGTTGGTGGTCACGTGGTGTTGGTGTTGGTGGTAGTGGTGTAGGTGGTGACGGTGGTGGTGGTGGAGGTGTTGGTGTTGGTGTTGGTGGTCACGTGGTGTTGGTGTTGGTGGTAGTGGTGTAGGTGGTGGCGGTGGTGGTGGTGTTGGTGGTAGTGGTGGTGGTGGTGTTGGTGGTGGTGGTAGTGGTGTAGGGGGTGGCGGTGGTGTTGGTGTTGGTGTTGGTGTTGGTGGTGGTGGTGATGGTGGTGGTGGTGGTAGTGGTGTAGGTGGTGGCGGTGGTGGTGGCGCTGCTTACGCAGCTGGAGCTGGAAGATGTGATATACAGCAAATATAAACTCCATCATGACTGCAAAAACTAAATCCTAATGCGATGAGCATGTGCTTACCTCATACGCAAACTATGACGTGTAAACTTTACCTAATCTTTGAGGCATGCCTGAAACAACTCACACTACGAGATCCAATAGAAGGGCGGGTACGTTACGTGCTTTTTCCTGCTGTGCAAACACCCATTGTAGCGTTCACAAAATTAGATCAATTAATTCTACAACCGGTGTGGGAGTAAACGGTAGCTGGTTGTATTTCCTAAACCAATTCTCTAAAGATGTACTGTAAACATGTGGGTGCGGGCATATATCATTCTACGGCAAGCATGCGTAAAATGCGAAAAATGCTACTGTTCGACTCATCTGGATGATTTATTGAGATTTAATTCAATCAAGAGCTCATTGCCATGTTCATTGCTAAGTGAATGATGCACTGTTAGTGTTAAGTGTAACCTATTCCTATAGGAGCAGTGTAACACTCTGATAATGAAAACGACATGCTGTGAAATGATGCCAATGTAACTGAATCGTTTAATTTCCAATTGGAACAAGCAACATATTACGCAAGCAAGATATTGCACAGACAAGACATATTGCTGTGAGGGAGATAGTTGTGACAGGACTCCTACTGGTATATAGCTACAGAGGTTTTCAACTATTTCCTAACTTGAACAGCTGCTTAAGTTGTCTGCTAACGGCTGTTATGTTTAGTATCTGAATCTGTACACGCAAGTATATTGCGCGATTCGAGTAACATATATATATATTACTTTATTTATGAAATCGTGCATAGAAGTATCGCGCTGAGATGAGATGCAGCCTGCGGCATGAAACAGCAAAAAGTGCCTTCAAAGCTCTCGTGTTCAATAAAACGTGTGTACGTCTCGCGTTTCCTGAATCGACAATCGCACGAATCGACCAAAATAGAATAACTAACGAAGGATCCGCTCCGCTCATTGCGTTTTATTGCTCGTACAATCAGGCGCGTGCGTCACACTGCGCCATTTACGCGAGATTTGACGCTAGAGCCCAGATCTCCAGCCAGGCGGCTCGTCACGCGATTACGTTAACGTACAAACTGACTCTGCATAAAAATACAATTTTATAGAATCCCTAGCCACCATCTCGCTCGCCATATTCTAGCTAAATGAGAACGGACGTGTTGAACACAGGAGCATCGCGGTTTCGCGCAGACGAAGATGTTGGCGCTTAGGTATCATTGCGATACTCTCCACAAAGCCACGAAGATATCGTTATATATCATATCGCAGACACGCACGCCCGCACGCATACATAT